AGGATTGCCTGAGACCAGGAGTTTGAGACCAGTATGAACTACATGGTGAGACTCCATGTCTACAAAAAATGCAAAAATTAGTCAGGTAGTAGTGTATGCCTGTGGTCCCAGCTACTTAGAAGGCTGAGATGGGAGGACAGCTTGGGCCTAAGAGGTGGAGGCCGCAGTGAGCCATAATGGCACCACTGTACTCTAGCCTGGGTGACCAAGAGATACCACCTCTCAAAAAAAAAGTAATAATAACTGCCACCTTTATTATCTCTGGTATTATATATTTATATAAAATAACAAAGAAGGACATAGACTAGAAGCTAAGATCAATGTACACTGTCTCCATCTAACAGAATTGTCATATTAAACATAAAGTAAGCAAGTTAACCTAAAAAATGTGCTTGGGGCACTCATAGACCAGATGTAAAATTTTTAAAATTTTTATATGCTTTTTACACATTTTCCTAGGATTTGAAAAAAATAAAACAGCTGGAAAATGACAAAATAAGTGTTGGCAGCCTTCTACATCACAAACATAAAATAACTGACCAAAGCAGAGAAGAATTAGAAAACTCATACATGATCATCCATTTTTTTAAAAAAACAAACTAAGTGCTTAATTATCTGGATCATATGCCATAAACATATGAAACTTTTTGCATTTCAAAGGTTTATTCTAATTGCTAAAAATTTTGTATTTCTCACCAAAGAGCCAGGCAGAACCAACACTTTGTTCTGCCAATTACCAAAGCTAAAAAACAGAGGGATTAAGCAGAACTGCATGATTTAACCTTTTAATTTATCCACGAGAATAATTCATGAATTGCTGTAACTATCACCATTTCCAACTATTTCTATACACATACATTTACACCTAATTAGAGCTTTTGTCTCCAACGTTCAAAAGATTTTATATGTAGTAATTTTATATTGGTGAAGATTACCTGTATTTTCTGACCTTTCATATATTAAGTATCATTAATATTCTAAAATAAATCATTACATCAAAAACAAAATTCAAAAATTCACCAGAGGTTACAGTGTAGCTATTGTTCATTACTTCAGGAAAAATGGGGCCACTCACGGGACATGGTCCGGGCATTTCTTGGGGACACAAGGGTAAAAAGACATTTGGAAAGTTCTACCATAGTTTCACAGATGTAAAGTTGACGTTTGACCCAAGACTCTCATCACAATGTCACCAAGAATGTTATGTCCACTAAAAACTATGACACAAAATACTAATCTTCTTTCACCTTCAAGCTACCTTAACCATGTGTTTCTCCAATAATTATTTAACCCCTTCATTGTTGCCAAGTCCTGTGCCAAATCCTTCCAAACATCAAGAAATTGGAAGGAGAAAGAGACTGAAACTAATAAAATTTTACTTGGGGTATCTTTAGAAATGATTAGTCCATCCAAGTCAAATGTGTACATTTAGCCCACAGAACATTAAATGGCTAATATTTTAGTCAGGGACCAAATACACAATGAATGAAAGGTAAAATGATTATTGGTAGAATGTCCTCTCTCCAACTATGACCAGCTTCAGCAAAATTCCCTACTGTTTGCTTATTGTAAATACCTAAAGGCCTCAATACTTAACTTCCAAACTGTTCAATATAAACACACACACAAACACACAGGCATGTGTGCACGCACAGACGCACACACACACACACACTGCCCAGTTTACAACAACCAAGTTCCTGAATATAATTCCAGTCTGGTTTTGAAAATTATCAGATTAGACTGAATCGTTGCATGTCAGTCTATGATTAAATAAATAAGTCTGTATTCCTTTTTCTCCTCTGTTTAAGGTCAATTGACACACACTCTAGAGGAATCCTCTACACAAATCAGGGAGTAGCTACTAAACTCCAGCTCAGGCACTCTCTGGAAGAGGCCACTCCTTGAGACAAGGAACCCTCCAGCTCATAAATACTGAGTAAGGAGAGTTGCCACACCTTACTGCATACCTAAGACACTGACCCAGCCCTTAAAGTTTTAAGACTCAAATCTGAATTGATTCCAATGGACTGCAGAGTTCCCTAGCTCCAGGAAAGAAAAAGTGAAAAACAAGTGTTCAAGAAAATTTCTACTATTACAATCCGAAAATAATCAGAAAAGAACTCAGTCCTGTGTATATAAGCAGAGTTTGAGTGTTTTTTTCTGATGTAATAAAATTATCATTTTGATCTTTTTGAATAATTCATAAGTGTGATGATTGGGGTTTCACCTCATGGGTAAGACATGCCTCCCTCAAACCTTGTTACAAGGTCAGCACATGACCTGTCTGACACGAAAAAATGAAAAAAAATTATAATCTTATGATGTTACACTGTTTAGAATTCTACATTTAGAGCTAGGAGGCAACCTGAAGATCACAGTCAAACTGCTTTTACAAATGAGAATGTTGAGGCCAGGGTAAGCTAAATGACATGCCCAAATAACTAGAAAGTGGAAGATGAGAACACACATTGCCTGACACCCAATTCATCACTCTCTGTACTCCTCTACAATAGGTATTTACTCATGTTCAATAGATACTTGCTGAATGTTAACTATGTACAACATACCCAGGGATTAAAAAGTTGAATGTAACCATCCCCATATGGAATCTAAACAATGGTGGGTTTGAGATAATATTTTCAGTTTTAATATGCAAGTCATCACATGAAGCTTTATCTGAAATTTTAGAGGAATATCTGAAATTAATTCTTCTCATAGCTGTAATTCTTCATTTTTAATCCTTCCATCTATTCTGTAGCCCTTCCAACTACAGAAGGTGGATGTCAAAGTGAAAGCATCAATGATGATGATGATGATAAAGGCAATGACAATGATAATACCAATTATGAGATATTCACTGTATGTGAGGCATTATTCTGAAACCTTTATATCCATTAGCTAACTTAATTCTCTCAAATACCTTAAAGGGAAGATACCATTATTATCTCTATTTTATAAAAGATATGACACGAGTAAGTCAAATGCCCAATCAGATGGCGGCCAAATTGGGGATTATACGCCGGCATGCCTTCATTACTACTATCTCCTAACTTTTCTGGCCTTAAGTCTTTCCTTCACTAGCTGGAAATTACCTGCCCCTTCTGGTTCTAAATTTCTTCATGTGTGAAATGATGGAGTGGGAAAATTATGATTTCCAATGGATCTTCCAAGTTGAGTATTCTGTGATTTACTGATTTGTGATAGTTACCAATCTCTTGTGGCACAGAGGAAGGAAAGCACTTAGCAAAAGCTAAGAATGATTTTGACCCAAATCACAAACTACAGACCTTTGACTATACAAAGGTTTCAGAATAACAGAGACAGGGATCAGTTATAGGTTTGACACATCTTTAACCTTCATATGGGCTACAATCTCAGGTGTTTTTTTAAACTAATCACTAACAGTAGTGTTTAAGCAAGAAAAAAGGCTTTCAAAATTTCTAATGATCATTAGGAAGAGTATGTAAAAACATGAGAAAATACAATGTTATCGGATCAAAGAAAAAAGCAGGATATAATAATTGGCTGCTTTTTTAAAACATGGGGAAAGAAGCAAGAACATTCAACAGTTGTTATATCTGGGTAACAGGATTTATGAGATTTTTCTTTCTCCTTTTCCTTCTCTTTTTTTATGTAAGCCTAAATTGCCTCCATAATTATAGGGGAAATTTTCTTTATAAAGAGAAAAACAGTGCCAAATATTCTCATATTGATTTCTTCTGAAAAGAAAACACTCTCCTGAAAACATCTCAATATTAACACTACAGAAATTCCAGAAATATAGGTTTAGAGGAAAACTTCATTATTGCCCACTATGAAGGGACAAGAAAAGACTCCTCTATTGCTTCAAGCCTAGAAGAATTAAGTTTTTTAGAAGATGTCACAGGAATGGTGGCAGGGAAAGGTGCTTTGGAGTCCAGGGACACACAGCTTTGTAAAGCTCAGCCCAGGAAAAAGAGAACAGGTGCAGCAGATGAAGCAGCAGACCGTGACAGCCAAATGACATTGGCCCCATCCAGAAGTCCCAGCCTGGAACAGGTTCTCTCTGAGCAGACCTGCCGTGCACCACAGCCAGCTACATGGCCAAGGGGACTTTCCATGAGCACAAATGCCCTTTCTTCACAGAAGCACTGCAGCAGAGGGAAGACAGGTAGCATATTTCATGGAATATATAACTATTAAAACAAACCAAACCACCAAACCAATTTATGCTTTCATCAGGCATTAGGGTAAGCACATTGTATAGATAACACCTATGTTCCTATATAAAAACACAATCTACATACACATGTGGCTCAGTGTACAACACAGATCAATGAGTGTGGCTTAGGATGATTACAATGAAACACTTCACTTTTTAGCACTTTGAAAACATTTTGTGAACATTCATTATTTCTCTGATGATTCCCACAAAAATTCAGGAATGACTAATTTTAAAATCACATTCAGGATGCTAATAATTACATATGAACCTTCTGCCTTGCTTGAAAAGGATTTTATACTACATTGTGGCAAGTAGATCAAGACAGATCTGATATACAAAGAAGAGGAAAACCAGAACAGGAAAAGTCAGCTCCTCCTTTGGGAGACTGACAGACAACATGTGGCATCAACGACACATCACACCCTGATTGAGCTGAGGTCTGCAAGACGCCATGGTGCCCAACTTACCAACAGCTCCAGACTTGCCTTAAGCACACTGCGTGTCTCAAGCACCACCACCAGCAAGAAGGCAACAACACAAAGGCCTGCATGTGTCTTCTAATTAGTTTGGTTATTAATTGAAAAAAACCTATTTCTGTTACTTGCTACCAAAATTCATTTAAACAATTATTTAAAATTTGAAAATAACATAATGTAACTAAATAAACAAATGTCATCTCTTGTGTGTTTTAAAAGCTTTTTTTTTTCTGTTTCTAAGTACAAAGTCAGCACCTACTGACTTTACCTGGCAGTAATTAAATACATCTAACATTAGATAAAGAAATTCAACCTACCTCATCAAAGGTGGTGTCATCTTTCTTCAAAGCTATAAAATAAGAAAGAAAAGGAAACAGTTATTGTGAAAAATTCCAAAGAGACTCTCTAAGTCACAGAAAACAGAAAAAAAAACAAGGCAGTATGGTGTTTTCATTTCAGAAAGTAAATTGCACCCCAACCTGAATAACAATGTTATGATACAAAAACAAAAACTGCAAATGAAAGAGAAAGAATTGCACAGCATGGATCTTTTTGAACATTGTTCATAAATATGCAAATAAAACTGTCCTCCTAAATATAAGAAAGAAGCACGCATAACTTTTCCGTATCTCTTCTTTAGCTGGAACATGTTTTAATGAAAGTATAAAAGAATCACAAAGTAATCTTAAAGAAATTTCCCCTTAAACTCCTGGGTTTTGAGCATACATCATCACTTGTTAGGATGACACCTACTTTGCATAGAGCCCTGAATGACATTTTCATACTGAGTGAAGTGTAAGTATGTTGATGAAAGACTAAGCATGTTAAAATAAGCATTGCAGAGTAAGAGACATAATTCAAATATTTCAACATGATAAATTTTATAACAAAATATTTCAAAAGAAAACAATACATTCAGAATATTTTATAGGAACCAGCAAATACTTCAAATTTATTTTAAATACAGTCATGTGTCACTTAACAACTGGGGTACATTCTGAGACATGCACCATTAGGCAATTACATTGTGCAAACATCATGGAGTGTACTTATACAAACCTAGATGGTATCACCTACCACACACCTAGGTTATATGGTATAGCCTATTACTCCTAGGCTACAAACATATGTAGCATGTTACTGCACTGAATGCTATCAGCAACTGTAAAACTGTGGCAAGAATTTGTGTATATAAACATAGAAAAATGTACAGTAAAAATACAGTATTATAATCTTACAGGACCACCATCATACATGCATGACTGTTCATAGCTTCAGAACTGGAATTTTTTCGCCCAACATGGAAAGAGAAGAATTTCACCTACAGTTGGCAAACACCTAGTTCCTTACATTTTACAATTACTTGGAATATTTCATATTAAGGAGAATGCATTAAATAGCTAACTTATCAGAAACTACTAGCTGGAGAAATGTTCCAAATTTATATAATTGTGCATAGATGTTTGCTGGTTTATACCTGATAGTTTAGTCTGGATAGAAGCAACTTGGGTAGCTGTTACTTAGAAAGCTTTGTTCTGACAAAAGCAATGAAAAGCAAATTATTCTGGCAATTAAGCTCTGAGAAAAGTAATGTGCCCAAACTAAAGCTATCATATAAAAGCTTAGAATACATATCTAACAATCATGAAAAGGTTACTTTTCTGTTTCACGTATTTGTGTTTTCAGGAAGAATGTGATTGTGGTGAGTAAAGGCGGATGCAGGTAGGCTGAGAAAATAAAATGTTTCTGAAAGTTTCTTATTTTTCCCTTTTGCCTAAAAAACTGATCTACTTTCTTTATTGGATAATCATTTCTTCTGAAAGTGAATGGAAAATAAAAAGACAGTTCTTTGTTGTAAATAGCTTATCTTACATTCAATGACTTGCACATTTTAATAATGTATTTAACTTAACCTACGTTAAATCTAAAATTACATACATTAAATCTAAAATGATCTGTTTTGATAGAACAATATTAAGATCCTAGTTAATTCCTAATGACTACATTTTCACTAGAATTTAACGTCTAATCTACAAGGCTCTGTATAAACACCAGTCAACAATATTACTATACTGTCTAATTCCTCAACCCAAGGTGTGTCCTTTAATTAACATGCTTGACTAATGAGTCCTTTACAAAACACTAGTAATATAGTTCTAAATATAAACAAGTTGCTCCATCTGAAAAACTAAATGTTTTGGAGTAAGAAACTAATAGCCCAATGATTTCAAATATAAAGTCTAACATATGCAAATTATCAGACAGCCTCATATCTAGCTTATTTAACAAAGATTAATGGAACACACACAGTATATAACTGCCATGCAAGATGCAAAGCTACACCACGAACATATAATTCACAGCACAGACTTTTAAGTATACTGTCTTTGCCGGGCATGGTGGCTCACGTCTGTAATCCCAGCACTTTGGGAGGCTGAGGTGGGCGGACCACCTGAGGTCAGGAGTTCGAGACCAGTCTGACCAATAGGGTGAACCCCCATCTTTAAAAAAAAATTTAAAACAAGTATACTATCTTTATTTTAAATTACAAAAGTTCTGGAAATTTAGCCATGTGTTTTCTAAGCAAAGCATCCAATAAGAACTACAGTTGATACTACCCCATCAGGTACAGTGGTTCCCGCCTGTAATCCCAACACTTTGGGAGGCCGAGGCAGGTGGATTGCCTGAGCCCAGGAGTTCAAGACCAGCCTGGGTAACATGGGGAAACCCCATCTCTACACAAAAAAAATAGAAAAAAAAAATTAGCCATGGTGGTGGTGCATCTGTGGTCCAGCTATTTGGGAGGCTGAGGTAGGAGAATCAATTAAGCCTGGGAGGCAGAGGTTGTAGTGAGTCAAGATCGCACCACGACACTCCAACCTGGACGACAGAGTGAGACCTTCTTCCTCTGTGTCAATAAAATAAAATAAAATAAAATAATAATAATACTATCCCTTAGGGAACTACACATATAAAATGAATACCCTCAAGTTGAGAAATGAAGACAGCAGAAAACTAGGATGTCTTGAACATCCAGACTGGACTATTTCCTTCTTATCTCCTAAGTCCTAACCATTCTCCCAACATTCTGGATAAAGAGGTGGGGTAAAAAAAAAAAAAAAAGAGGTGGGGTCTGGAGGTATCAAGAGGAGAAAATAGAAGAAACTCCAAGTGTATTTGCTATGACATAATGAACAGGAAGCCAGATTCTCTCATCTGCACAATACTCTCAAGCTCAAGGTATCACAGAACACCATTACTTCACTGAAATCATTCACTGCTAGACTGACACCTTACAGGGTTTCTTCTAAATATTGAGTCCTTGTCCTGAACAGCAGTCAACAGTGACAACAAAGACCAACTTAAGATGTTTTTGCTAGACATTCATCAGGTTCCTGAATGAGTATATTGTGACTCAAACAAGAATACAACATTTCATTATTGATTCCATTCCCTGATTGCCATTAATCATTCATGTAATTGTAAATCCACAATTATCTTTAAGGATTTTATGGAGTAACAAGCATATTACATTATTCTAGAATAGCCAAGGGGCATATATCAAAATATTAAAGATCAGCAGATATTCTACTCAGTCCTCTGCTCAAACATTGCTTCCTCTAGACAGCCTCTCATGATTTCACCTGGATGAAAGTAGTGCTCCTCCTGTGTTCTCCAACAGCAAATTTCACTAACCTTCATGATAGATTTGTTCACTTTATATTGTAAATGCCTACTCATTGGCCTGTCTTCCCTTAAAATCCTTGAGGACCGGGACCAGCCACACCGATCAGTGAATCTGACTGTCAGAACAATATCTATAGAGGAGAGAAGGTACTCAATAATTATCTGTTGAATTAGTGAGCCCTACCTTAATGCTTAATGGCACAAAGAGAGTATCTTTGGAGACAAACTTAAGTTTTTGTGTATGAAAATGATACATTGGTTCTCTCTTAAAAGATCATAGATATAAATTCTATTTGGTAGTTTTCAAATTAAAATCTTTTGAAATTGCTTTAAAGAGAATGTGGTACAATAGTTACATTTTGTGTCTGAACATTTAACCCTACATTTCACTTTTCTGACATAATGAATTCATCAAATGACAACTGAACTCTAGAATTACACACTTAAAGCACAAGATACAAACTCCAAAGTTCAGTGTAATCATAGCCTCTTCTTTTTATTTAGTTCCCTCACAAACCATATACTTTAAAGAAATGGTATACATGGGGTTCATCTCAAATATCACAGAGTATAAACTTCCTTTCTCTAGGAGAAAGTCCAAGTAAGTATGAAGAAGTACATTCAAATGAATATGAAAAAATGTCAGTTTGCCCTTAATCATACACCGGATATTACATAAAGCCTTTCTCCTTCTAGGCTAACATTCAAAAATAAAAAAGAAACAAGGAAGAAAAGAGGAAATGAACTTTAATATACTTAAACTATTCAGTAATTAAGTTCCCATTTGTCTTCATTAGCCTAAATTAAAAAAAAAGTATGAGACAACTGCAGTAATTCCTAAGTTAGTGACCACACTGACACTAGTTAGTAGAAAACCATAAATAACTACCGAAATTGATGGGGACTTCAAAATTCAATTACACCCATCTTATTAAAAAAACCATAGCTATATCGTAGTCATTCTCTGGCAGATGTTGTAAATTAGAGCGCTATGGCTTGAGAGCCAAAGTGTTTTATAATGTAGTAATCTCAGATCAGTTGTATTTGGGGTAGGCAGTGACAAAGTCAGCATGACCACAAATGTGTAAATAAATTAAACATTAGCATTGCTACTTGTATGTATTCAGAATTATTATTAATAATAAACATTGATTGAATATCAGATACTTTCAAATATTTTCTTATTTTCTATAGATGAATGATTAGTAATTTCTTATGGCTAAACAATAATGTTGTACATTTCACCATACAACAAGCTACACTTTTGGATAATACTAAAGCAGCAAAATAAAGTCAGTATGTCTATTTCAAAAGCCATCTTAGATTGGTTAAAGAGAATGAATGCATTGCAGTGTGGATTATTCAACAAGAATAAATCATTCACTCTTTGATCTCCTCGTGAAGGATCCATGAAGAAAGGAGGATAATGGGGTATAAACAAAAGTTGGAAGGAATAATAAAAACCTACCACATTGACCTTCACCTTGTAATAGATACTGCACTCGATTTTTCATGTATTTTATCCGATTTAATCTTCACATATATTCACCTTATATGAATAGTTACAGATGAGAACTCTGGGCTTTAGGGAAACTCCACTGGCTGCCAAAGGCACAGAGCAAGCAAGGAAAATCGAGTTCAAATCCAGGCCTGCCTAACTCCAACCCACATGCTGTTGTAAGGCTGGCTATACTACAAAGTCAATGGCCACTTCCCTCTTCTCGTGCTTTCTATCTATAAGATCAGTTGTATCAGTATGATGGAATCCCTAATAACAACAACAACGATGACATATCTTGAATGTTTACTGAGTCTTTATATAATGTGCCACACAGGACATGATGTGCATTATTTCACTAAAAGCCAGCAACAAAACTGAGTTGCACATGAAAAACTGAAGCTCAGAGAAGTTGAGGGACCTCAGCTGGGCATGGCAACACCGGAAATACCCAGTCTGTGTGACACACAGCCCACATTCTTAACTCATGCACTATATAATCCCACAGTAAACCCCCAACTCAGCAACCTCTAGCACCTTAAAAATCCTTAGATAATCAGAACGAGTTCACTGGTTTTAATTTTGCAAATACAATATAAAACATTGAGAAAATAAGAAGATACAGATTTTGTTTCTGTAATGCTATTTCTAATGAATGTCCTTGGCTTGGTATACAACTATGATCACTTCAGTATCTCCTTCTACAATATTCCACAATGAGATCTACGATTCAGAATCATACCCTCCGTCAATACAAAAATAATCAGTAGTGTTCACTGCACTGTATTCTGTGTCCTAAAGGGAGGATATAAAATCCACTAGATCTTAGAAGACATTTTAACAAGAGTTAGATTCAAAAGGAGTTTCACATCACTAAATCTCAGTAAGCTAGAAAATCCAATTAACTATAATATCCTCATTTGCGAGCACTGTACTTAATCCAAATTTTACTGATTGTCAATCAAAACCTTGAAATTATTTAAACATAAGGAACTTTTATATTAATGTTCTTGGTTTCTTACTGAGACTCAATTGCAATGAATTATTTAACAAAAAACTGGAGAGGCTCCAACAGAATCATTAGCATTAGTAAACATATAGTTAATGTGTTTTAGAACAGGGCTTAATGGACTCCAGAACCCGCCTCTGTAAAGGTTTGGGTCAGGACTGAAACATCTTCGTTAATAATGCACACGACTCAACATTTCCCTCTCACATTCTTCTTGGCTTCAAACTTCATTTGAATGCAGGGACTCTCCATATGTATCCCTAACTCTGAAGAGCGAAATTGTTAATATCCAATACATGCAATAAATAAAACTAAAGATTGGTTTCAAACCACAACTTTACAGGCATCTTGGGAAAGATTTTGCATACAAACACAAAATTTTAAGTCGAAAGACAAAACACACACACAAACACACACACACACGGCTAAATTTCGATCCATTGTACTCTCATACTTGAAGAAAGTTTACGTATCTCACAATGAATGGAAGAATATCTGTAACATTCATGTGCATTCCAGGGTTTTATTTTAAGGAATTAAGCACCTTTATGCTTAATTTCCATTAATACCTCGTTAACATGGATGACATTTTAAACAAATGAAACAAAGACTAGGCGGCTTCCTAGGGACTCGCAAGGATTATTTTTTGTGTCTATAGCATTATCCTGCTCAAGATAGTTACGTGTATCAGTGAAAGTTATGACAGCAGGGAAGGCAACTACCTCTTCAGGTTAAAAGGGGTTTTATATGACCAGTACTCAAAATCTAACAAATGCATTCCACGTGACACTGTTGTCACCCTGTTACAACCTGTGACATGAATTTATTCTTCACTGTCCTAAATATTGTTGGTCGATTGGTTAGACAATAGCCCCTGAGCTCTAGTAAATGGAACAAGTTCGGGAGACATTCCTAAATGTCCAGACAACTTCGCAGCGCGCATTTCTCTCCAGTAGCAGGAAGATTCAGAGCCCAAATCTCTGAACACCCAAATCTCGCTTTCCAGGACCCGAAGTACTGAACAATAGGTCCCAAGGTAACTGTCCCACTTCCCTTTAGGTTGGATATGTTAAACAATACCAGGGCACAGTCTAACGTTTCACCAATTTCCAAAGCTAAATTACTGACCCAACACCCAATATCTAAGCCTGTGCGCAAAAAAATAACAAGTGACCCAAGCAGCCGCGCAGCCCCTCGCGCGGCGGGGGCAGACGGGTCTTCTCGCCCGTCCCCCACGCGCGCGAAAGGGCGAGCACTAGTGGCGGAGGAGTGGGGAACCCATATTGTAGGCTTGAGACAGTCTACAAATGAACCGCCAGATCCTGAGGGAGAGGGATCTCTTCTCTTTGCGACCTCGCCCTCCCCGCATCACCAGCACTGTGCCCTCGACCCCGGCCCGCAAAGCACCCTAGGCCAGCCCCAGTGGCAGCTGCATGGCTGGTGCCAGGAGCGCGAAGGGGACGTGGGCCGAGGGGAGCGGGTGCTGGGGACGCCGGGGGCAGCGCGCTACTCACCAATGCGGCTGAAACTCTCTGACAAAGTTCTCCGCAACTTCTTCATCTTGCCGATCTTCTCGGCCGGCTGCGGCTCAATGAGGTCGCACATCTGGGTGACGCGGGGCCCCGGCAACTTCCCCAAACTGGTCCAGAGCAGAGCTCAGACAACGGCGAGGGCGCGCGCCGCGGTGAAAGCCGCGCCTCCACCTCCTCCGCGGGCCAGGAGGCGACGCTCTGGGCTGAGGAGGCGAGCTGCAGGCGGACGGCAGCAGGCGGCAGGCTCCGCTCGGGCCTGGGCCGCGGCTGGGCGGGCGGGGGCGGTTTACGTGGTGCCGGGGGCGGCCGCGCTCGCCGCTGCCGTGGTGGCCTCGCGCCGCGCCGCAGCTGCCCGGCTCATTTTCCCTCCTTTGTAACGGAGAGAATCGCGGCCGGCAGGGGGAGTGGTGCGGCCGGAGGAGGAGGAGGCGGGGGCGGGCCGGGGACAAGGTGCAGGAGTCGCCCAGCGCCGAGTGCGCGGGGCCAGGACTGGTGGGCCGGCTGGAGAAGTTCTCAGCCGGGAGTTGCAGGCGCTGGGCAGAAAAAGCCGGGGCACGGAATCGCCACACCGACGCTCCTGCCGCCCTCCGGCTGCCTCCGCCACGCCCCTCCCTCGACGAAGGCCCCCGAGCACGGGATCCTAGCAAGACCTCGGCTCTCCGCTCGCCTCCCGCGTCCTCCGCGGCCTTCCCTGTCTGGCTCGCGCCCCTGCGGCGCCCTCTCCCGGTCGCCCCCGCGTTCCTCCCCGCCCCGCCCGCGCGCCGGAGGACTGCGAAGGGGCCGGAGTGCGAGCGGGCCGCGTCTGGGGACAGCGTCCTGGGCTGTGGGAAGGCTACCGAAAGGAAACGGGCCGAGTCCAGTCGTTTGGGCAGTTTTGTCCTTTCCAGGAGCGCCTGTGAAAAAGCGCGGAATTGGGTGGAGGGCAGCTGCCTGGACTGCCTCCTGGACTGGGTGCGGTAAGGCCTTGGGGACGCATTCAGATGTAGGGTGCCTTTTTTTTTTTTTTTGGACGAGAGAGCTGTCAAGTGAAAGATCCAAGGGGAATGGTGGGCCTGGATTTCTTGTTGTTTGCCGTGGGTTTTATGTTTGTTTTGAGGTCAAGTGCAGAAGCAGCGGAAGCTTCAACTGTAACCCTCCAGAAGGCAGGGATCACGCTGTTTCCCTCATCCTCGTCTCTGATCTTGGTGACACATGCAGGTGATTTCTGATAGGAATACCCAGTTCTGCAGTAAATAGGAAACATATATCTTGATCTTTTTCTAGTTCATTCTTAGAATATATTTCCGAATTGAGAGACTTAGAGGCTAAACAGACTCCGACCTCCTTTTCGGCCACCTCAAAAACAGAACTTTAAAAAGGGGTGGGGAAGGTGTTTATAAAATCCCAGGACGAACAGTTCCAGCAGAAAACACACTTTGTCTTCATTCTGAAGAAACCTCGTGCGGCGTGAGCTCCAAACGTCAGTCTCCTAGGGGAGTGAGAAGGAAGGTGGGGGAGGGCTTGATTGTGTTGATTTGGGGCCAGCAAACTCCTTATGAATAGAAACGTTAGTAATGTTGAGTCATCTGGCTTTATAAGTAATAAGAGCTTGTGACAGTGTAACTATGCTGTTTGGTTTGAAGGAAGTTTGAGGGCGTTTACGTTTTGTTAAAAGATTTTTATCTTTAAAAACTAGCCCCCTGCCTTCCTTAAATTGTGAAGTAAAACAGTGATTTGTTCTGCCCTACACTGAGCACATTATAGGATCTTGATAGATTGCGGATGATAAAAGACAGGAAATCACGCTAAGTGGGGAGCAGAGGGGGGCAAGGAATTTGCCTGGAAAGTCCATATGAGTTGAAACGCAAAGCTGTTGGGTCCTGGCTGCCATATCTAGATAATTACAGACGCACCAAGGGTGGCCTCATACCGGAAAAAAGTTTAACTTTTACCACTTCCTCAGCTTAGAGAGAAAGTTTTGAGCAGTTATGAATGAAAAGACAAAGGCAACCAATCAAAACACTGATGGGCTGTAGGAGTCAACAAACAAAGAAATACTAATTTAACAAACTTTCACTATTATACATCTGTGACTGTTATTCACTGTGACAATGGCTGTTGCAAATACGTTAAATATATATTTGTTTTACCTTTCCAATTTTTTTTTCTTTCTTTCTTTCTTTTTTTCCTTTTTTTTTTTTTTTTTTTTTTTTTTTTGAGACAGGGTCTGGCTCTGTCGCCCAGGCTGGAGTGCAGTGGCACAATCTCAGCTCTCTGCAACCTTCGCCTCCTGGCTCAAGCCATCCTCCTACCTCAGCCTCCTAAATAGCTGGGACTACAGGTGTGTGCCACCACGCCCAGCTAATTTTTGTATTTTTTGTAGAAATGGGGTTTCATCATGTTGCCCAGGCTAGTCTCCAACTCCTAAGCTCAAGCAACCGCCCGCCTCGGCCTCCCAAAGTGCTGAGATTACAGGTGTGCCCCACCATGCCCATTCCCTTCACAGTATTTCTGACTTTTAAAAAGTAGTCAGCTTCTTCTTAAATTATGGTAAAAGCATGCAAAGGTATACACTCTTCTTTTTCTTTTTTTTTTTTTGAGATGGGGTCTCACTCTGTCACCCAGGCTGGAGTGCAGTGGCACAATCTTGGCTCACTGCAACCTCCACCTCCTGGGTTCAAGCGATTCTCTTGTCTCAGCCTCTGAAGTAGCTGAGACTACAGGCATGTGCCACCACATTCAGCTATTTTTTTATTTTTAGTAGAGACGGGGTTTCACCATGTTGGCCAGGCTGGTCTCAAAGTCCTGACCTCAGGTGATCTGCCCACCTTGGCCTCTCAAAGTGCTAGGATTACAGGCATGAGCCACAGTGCCTGGCTCATTGTTTTTTAAATGAAATCAATATGTACTGATTTATAAATATGTACAGGCTAAGTGGGAGAAAAGCATGTTTAATATTAAACCATTTGTAGAAAACACGTACACACATCTATGTGTTTCTATATGCATAGAATATTTCTGGAAAAAAGAACAGAAAACTGTTGATTGTACATCCAGAACAGAGAGAACGTTTCCTTTTGCAATTTATACTTTTAAGGTATAAATTGAATGTTTTATCCAAGAATGCACTACTTTTATAATAATAAAAATACTAATTTAACCATAATGAATATTTTCTTTTTCCCTATCCCACTTTAAAACTTCAGCTCTCCCAACTCTGGAACAACTTTATCTAGTTACAGCAGTATACCTAGCAGGAGAAACAGCTGTTAAGCATGGACCAAATAAAGCTTTGCAATTATGAGTCATCAACTTTACATTATATGCTCATCTTGCTCCCTTTTCTGATTATATTTTAAAAGGGCAAATTTTGCAAGATAATGCGATGTAAAAAAGGGCATTTTTTACTTCAAGCTTTTAAGATATGTATACCTAAAGATTCAACTCTTTTTACTATTATTTGTTTCACATTTGCCTTCATCTTGAGAGTGTAAGTTCAGGGATCCTAAGATAGGAAATACACAGTGCCTGTTGCATAGAGAATGTCAATTAATGTTTGTCAAATAACATTAGAATAGAATGGATTGCTATCTCTGAGAAGTGATGTGTTGTCCTTGGAAACAAAGATGACTATCCAGCATCTGTATAGCATATGTTTTTTCAGTAGGATAATGGATCTGTGCCAGTTCTCCATCTCAACTTCTGGTTTACAAGGTTATAATTTTGGATGGCCTGAATTAAAGGTGCAGTGTTCAAGTACGAGGAGATAAGCTTATCTAGAAGCTGAAACCAACATGGGTTGAGCTTAACCAGATTCACCAATTAAAGGATACAGGTGTATTAGGAGTTCAGTAGTAACAACAGTGGCTGGGGACCCAGGACTCATGAGTTCTAGTCCCTACTCTCTATAACTAAGTGCTTTGTAGCCTTAGACAAGTAAGTGATTTACCCGTTTTCTTATCTATAAAATGAGTGGCTTAAACAAGATGACCCCTAGGGCCATTTATATCTGCCCAGTTCAAGATCAGACTGGGCAACACAGTAACACCCCATCTCTAACAGATAAATAAAATGTAATGATGCAATTTTCCCTCTCTCATCTTATATACTATAGATATATTAATGAAGAGTTATTCATACACAAATAAGATTAAGATTCATTGACAAAAATTATATGAAATTTAAGATACATCATTTCTAGTTATATGACATATATAATGCTTTTATTATAAAATAAAATATGAATCTTTTCCATATAAGAAAAATATCAGGCTAATATGCTAGCAATAGATTATAAGAGAAAGAATCCTAATTCAAGTAAGATAAAATATAAAGGATTTATTAGAATCCAAAGAACCAGCAAAAGCAGACTTACTGATCTGAAACAGTTTTAAAAATATTATCAGAGAAAAGAAATTCATGAAACAAGGATACCAAGGACATGGAGAATAGAGTTGGAAAATGAAGCTTAAAAAAGAGATGTTTATAATGTAAAGTTTTAGAAGTTAGACAAAGCATAGATAGTTTAAGACATACTGCCAAAGTATAATATTAAAGTGGTAGAAATTTACATAATTAAATATCCTCTTAGAACTCTAAATAGTCAACCTATTTAACTATTTTTAGGATCAAATTTATTCTTTTTGAACACATGAGGAACTGAAGTAACACAAGGTTAAGTAACTTATATGAAGTTCTCAGTGAGTCATCAGTAAAATTAGTACATTGACTCCAAAATTCTTGTCACCAACTCTTACGTTCCAACTATTAGACAGTATCTAATCTTAAGGGTTCTTTTTTTTCTTTGACAAAGAGCAAATTGAAATCAGAAAGGGGAGTAAAATGGAAGGTTGAAGAAACCAGTGTATTCACAACTCAGGTTAATGAAGACTTCCCTCATCTCTCCTCCTTGTTCCATCACCCATCCATTGCCTACTTTTTCCTAATTCAGATCCTTTTCACGTTTACAGAAATCACTGCCTGCTGACAAAAAACCTCCAGGCTTGTTTGAGAATGGGACCTACATTTGCTTATTTTATTGGTAATTGTACGTTTTTTTCATGCCACATGTCAAGAGACCCAGGGACCTAAGTAAATTGATCTACTTGCCAATGACTGTAAGAAGGACAAAGAAGTTGTAAAAACATCAAATGATGTTCAGCATAAATTAGCTCAGGATAGTTTTGAAGAAGATAAACTACCAGGGTCAAAGCATGCATGAAAAACTGGTAAGTTCCCGTCTCCCATTAAACCATGCTTAAATATTTTAATGCATATCACTCATGTTTTTTATTGTTACATAATTTGTACTGTAGATGTTTATACAAGAAAACATCTACCACAATTTCTAAGA